ATTGCGGAGATTCTATCTGAAGTACATGTTACACTTTGAAGAAAATGTGATGGACGTCTAATCCACAACAGGGTCCATATCAACAGACTTAGACTTTGAGAAAGTGGCACCTTATGAGTTAACAGTGACAAGTCTGCTGAAACGTTTTTGTTTGTTTGTCGTTTAACGTCGCACTCAGCTTTATGACGGCGGTCTGTAAATAATCGAGTATGGTCTAGACAATCCAGTGACTGACACCATGAGCATCGATCTACGCATTTGGGACGTGGTGACATACATCAACCAAGTCAGCGAGCCTGACCACCCGATCCCGTTAGTCGCCTCTTACGACAAGCATAGTCGCCTTTTACGGCAAGCATGGGTTGCTGAAGACCCTTCTACCCCGGATCTTCACGGTTCCTGTAACTGAAGCTCAAGACACTGTGCCAGACTGTGTTTCAAGTTCAAGTTGTGTTTTGATATAGTTCAGTGTTAGTTAATCTTGTTGATTTAGTGCTGAAGTTGATTGTCACTGTGATGATAGACAGATAATGTACGCACTTGGAAGTGAAAGAGTTTATCATTATTCATGAGCTCCTATGCTTAAGTACAAACGGTGTTTGCACCCTGTATAGTCAAGTTTAACTTCTGAACATGAATGTCACAAACTGACTGTAGGTTCACCATTATAAGGTACCCGTGAAGATCCGGGTTACGACATAGGCAGACATGCCTATGATTATGACAACATGTACTTCTACACTGTGAATATTTCATAAATGATCGAAATGAATTCTTCTCCACCCTCATTGACAAACTGGATATCGAAAGTTATGTTCAAATTGAACTTCTGGAAGAAAATGATAAAATGAAAATGACTATTCTGGGGCTCAGTAAACATACAATCTGGAATTATGAACCAGTTTACATGGGAAAACATATAATTGATATTCTGTGAATATGTCTTAAATTTCAGAAACATATCAGATTAACCTCACATTAATCTGTTGTGTCCTAATAGTGCTCACTTGTGTACATAGTAAATAACGAAAATATATGCGTGTGTGTGTATATATATGTATATGTATTTTAATACTAGCACAATGCATTTGCTCTGAAAATATCAGAGATTTTGTAAATCTTCGGATGTAACTTCTGGAGGAAATAAAGAAATTCAATCATTCATTCATTCATTCATTCATGCTTGCTGTAAAAGGCGACTATGCTTGTCGTGAGAGGCGACTAACGGGATCGGGTGGTCAGGCTCGCTGACTTAGCTGATGTATATCATCGCATCCCAATTGCGTAGATCGATGCTCATGTCATTCACTTGATTGTCTGGTCCTGGCTCTTTTATTTACAATCCGCCGTCATATAGCCGGAATATTGCTGAGTGCGGCGTTGAACAACAAACAAACAAACAAATAAGTATAAGGCTTTGCTTGTTAATGAATGTAACAGTTCCATTTTGTTGAGGAACTTCATCCTTGTGTACCCATTTTGAGGATTTTTACGGGAATGTACTTGAATTGTATTACATCACATTTCTATTGCACCAGCAAAGCATTAATATTAAACCTTTTTCTGTAAGCATATATGTCAAGGATGTTGTTTTAGTACTGTAGTTGCAGTTTTGTTTATGTACAAGGCATTATGATGAAGTGTAGTGACATTGATTTAAAAAACAAACAAACATTAATCTTGCACAGTTTACAGTTTTCATTTCATCATATTATAGAGCCAGTATTGACATGTTTTAGCGTTTTGTAACCGTGCTGTGCAGAATACTGCAACACGATACCAGTATAGTGTAAATTTTAAATTATTATATTTTATATTTGAGTTTTGTTGATTTTCTTTGTTTTCCTTCATTCAGAAATATTTCAAAATGTGTTTTGTTTGAGTGTTTGAAATACAGAGGGTGATGTGGCGAGAAGTTTAGAAATAATTTAAACTTTGTTTAGATGGTGATAGCTTATTTCAACATGTGTATGAGTATTTAAGGAATGGTCCAGGGGAGATAATCACGTTGGTCTCTTCCGACGAGAGTTACTTTCCTTGAGGATAACACAAGTAGAGATTGCTGCAGAGCATCAATAGCTCCCCGCAATATAATGTTATGTGCAGAGGAAATAAGTGTAAGCTATGGGAGGAGAGAATTTGTGTTCAGTACAAATTGGTTGTTATTAATGTACTTATCTTTGGAAAGCACAATAACAGTGTCTTTAATTGGTCAGCACAAAGAAAACCCAGGCAAGAAAACTGGGCCTGTCAGACAAAACTTGATATATACCCATTATTAGTACCAATAAAAAAATCCTATATAGATAACGCAACAAATGTCATTCTAAAGCATGCTTTTGCAGCAAATATCAATATTTCTGGTCAAAATGTTGGTTGGGTTAAATAAAGCAAACTTTTAAAATAGTGAACACAAAAAATGTAATGAATCCACTCATTATATACTCAATAGAGTTCAGTTCAAATGTAAAAATTCACGTGATCATTAATGGATTCCCATTTATCTAGCAGCAAGTTAGGAACATACAGTTTGGTCACGTTATCTATAAATATTGAGAATTATCTTACATATTGTAAAAACAAAGGCCATAGGTCACTTTTCTCAAAACTTCGTTTAAGTAATCACAAACTAAAAATTGAAAAAATTGTAGATATACAAAAAAAAAACAACAACATTTGAACAACGTCTGTGAAACATGTGATGTCTCAGAAGATGAACAACATTACGCATTGTCTTACATAATACAACCAAGAAAGAGAATCACAAATAATCCCCAATCATGATAAAGAATTTGGTACACTCTGTTAAAAGGTGCAGATTCTTAATAAGTTTACCAACAGTTATCCAGAAACAACTTCCAAGATCTGTTAACATATCAACAATTACAAACAAATTCCTTGCACATGTATGTACAACATTACCATAGTTTTGCTCACTTCCCATATTGTTTCCATATCATAATAATACACTTGTTTTACAAATAAAATTGTTATTATGTACCTCTTTGGAATGTTGAATGTTCCTGTGTTTTTTAATTGTCGTTTATTGTGCATGAATTTTGTAGTTTGTGATTGTGTAATATAGCCACTGTTTCTTCATGGAATGTTCCGCAATACATCTAAAACATCTTTGTTGTATAATAGTTTCTTACAGTTGCTTACGGGGGCATTTTTGGCCCAGTCGCCGAAGCCGCTGCAATTCGCTATGCAGAGTTGTGTCCCTTGGGCACGCCAGAAACCTATGACAGTGTGTTTGAATCTCGGTTCGCTCCGATTTTGTTGTCAGCACAAAACCCTTGCTCGTTGGTTTCACCAAAGTGGTGAACGTCTAAGACCTGCATCACTTCAGACTTTCCTCCCACATCAAGCTGACACGGAATACTATTCAAGACGGCGTTAAACCCAACTACCTCACTCACTCTTATGTATGGTTCCGTTTGGTTAACTGGGTTTGTGTTGTGATTGCTTCCGGCTTAAATTTGAAATTTGTTTAGAAGAATGTTACTATGTTCAACCCAAACATCGTGGAGATATCATGCAACCGTATTATCTTTTTGGAAAATAATTGCAAACTACAGACCAACCTGTCCTATGTATCCAGAAGCAAAGAACATATACGGGTGTATGATCTCTGCTGGAATTTTTTTTGTTTTTTTGTCAAATCAATAAACCATGCAGAAACGTAAACCGCCGCATGAAACAGTATGTACCATACATTACATACAGTGAAGTATTAAAAACAATGCTGTGCTCAACTATGCACAGCAAGCGCCATACATGTGATTATGAAGATAACTAATAAAAAAAATTCTCATATCAAACCCGTTGTTTTACATGTGTTGTTTATTGAACAAAGTCATACTTTATAGAAGCCTGTTATTTAATCGTGTTGAAAAATATGTTGCAAAAGCAGTGTGAAATTTGAGTGCGCGTGACAGGCTCCTGGAACGTTTCTCGATGGCTGCCTGAATAACATACGATACATTGCAAAGGTAGTGCGCAATTGAGCTGTTCGGGTAAGGGAGATAATCACTCACTCTCAGTGATACAGCTTGAATAAGGCACGATGTACAGCAATGCAAGGTCAGTGCGTGAATTTACCACATCTATACTACGCCTATAGGTAAAGGAGATAATCGCTCAATGCGCAATGGTTTATTCTTACAAAATATAGACCGGTTAACTTTACCGAAATGGGGTCATTTTGAGCTCTTTTAAAAGCAAAATGAACAAATTTCATGGGTTATCAGCATTACGAAAAGTGACTAAGTCTCAGAATAGCAAGAAGATTTTGAAGTATCTCTTATTGCTGGAAAAGATAAACATCAACATTTCACGCACATTTCACATGATTTGTATGTTTCGTTTCGGTAACTGTGTGGCTTGAAATTTCAAAGAAACCAACATGTCGACTTACATGCTACAAATTTAACCTCTCCCGTATACTTCCCCGCCTTAAGGGCGGGGAAGAATAAACGACCTCCTCTGATGCCTATTTGCTGTTAGATTTTGTTGCTCTGCATCACTTGTCTTGTATCTCCATTCTGTTATGAAAAATATACTCGCTCGTGACTGTAATTTGAGTGGACAGCTATTTGAAGCGTCGTTCAAAAGCTGTTTGCAATGAAAAAGGTTGAAAATGAAACTCTGTCCCCGAACATACTGGACAGAATCAACGTCCTAAAAATTCAAATGTCCTCAGCACTAGACACGCTGGATGTTCTGAAAAAAATATCTCCAAATATAAACACCATTTAAGGAACAGAACCTTACAAGCACCACTACTGTTCCATCGGGTATAAAGCACAATGAAGAGGTGGAGGCGAATGTCACGTACCTTCTTTCCACTGATACTAAGCACTCACTTGGGACTGAATACCACATTATGCTGACAATCGGAGATACTGTCACAAGCAGCGTTATACCCAATTCACTCACTCACACACTCAAGTGACTACACCAAAGCATTTCCAAAGCCTTACAAAGATGCACAACACAGCTTAAGGTTCATAGTAGGATTTTATTCCAACGTTTGACTGATACGTGTTTATAACTGGCGCGATACACATCAGATGGAGACGAAGGCTGCTCAGTGATACATCACTAGCGAGTGGAGGGCTACATATCTTCTACCTGTGAACAGACGGAAAATAATGAATTACCCTAACTGTGATACAATAGAAGCATGTCATCGATCCCAATTGCGTGGATCGTTGCTCATGATATCAATCACTGGATTGTCTGGTCCAGACCGCCGTCATATAGCTGGAATATTGCTGAGTGCGGCGTTGAACAAACCAACCAATCAACAATAGTGAGTAGATAGCATGTGTACTGACACTGACAGCTTTCTCTGGTATACTTCTGGACTGACTTATGGAATGTTGACTTGAATGTACATGTAGAACGCATTACGTCATTGTCAATATTATATATTTATCGCAGCGTTTGACAAAGGACAAATGTATAATCCATTAGTGTTACAATCACTGACATGGTACATGAATATGCATATCGTAATTGAAAGCAAAAATTGGATGTTCTGGTGTTGATAAAACTGGTCTCAAGTTTGGCGATAAACTTAGAGCACCCGCAACTGGGAACCTGGTCCCACTTGCACAAAGCGATCTTAGCGCTACGACTATCGTAAAACATGTTATAGTATGGGAGTAACGATCATCTTAGCGCTAAGATTGTTTAGTGCAAGTGGGCCCTGGTCCATGAAACCAACTCGGAGATTGCATTGCAGAGTAAACTCCCCTTCCAACCTGCTCATGACGTCAACCACTGGTTTCCCTGTTCCAGATTATTGACAGGCAGCTTTAACATAGCTGGAATATTACTGAAGAACCTTGACTCACTCACACACTTATGCATAATACTAGTATTCAAAGAGAGAATACAGTATCGGCCAGTATCTTGGTCTCCATCGTCGTTGTATTGGCCGGAATAGTTCTACAACCGTGTGGGTGCGGTCGAGTAGCCTAGTGGTTAAAGCGCTCGGGTTCGATACCAACATGGGTACAATGTGTGAAGCCCATTTCAGATGCCCCCGCCGTCATAGCTGGAATATTGCTTAAAAACGGCGTAAAACAACACTTACTGACTACAATCGTGTGTAGACCACTCACTAATTTGTCCGTTGACGATGATTGAGATTCTAGCTAAATTTCAGATATGCTGTCCAAGTTGAATAGTTACAATGGACATCTAAGACATGATCAAGGAAGTTTAGGGCATAGGACCAAGGTATGCCTTGGTACTTGACAGTTGCGTCCTTCACCTGTATCTGGACCCCGGTGATCGTGGGTTCGAATCTTGATTCGCCATGACCCTTGTTTTGTTAGTACCCCTCCCTACCCATGCTCTACGACCTTCGTCACTTTGGACTTTCCCCTTACATCAAGCTGACAAACCAAACTTGCTCACTCACTCGGTTATGCAACATAAAAAGGAGGCTCCATAGGGATGGTCGCTAAACCATTATTGTCATTTCTGTACAATTTTAATTAAAAGCAGTATTTAGCTGTACTAGGACGGAACTTATCTGGGATTGAATATGTGTCACTTTAAATCGATCTCCATAACTAGAGTTGAGAGACTGTATGCACAAATATTTTTTTTAGTACAAGTCCATGATAGAAGATTGTATTTTGCACGTTGGCCTTGCTCCATCAATGAAAGAGATGCAAAGAAATTACTTCGATTCCATAACTATCTGTTGTGACGAGTCAAACGAACCACGGAGGATATCATAAACGTTATTCTTCACGTGCAACTGATTGCTTATTTCTTTTTCAAGTTGTCTGATAAGAAAATAAAGTCGTGTTGTATATAACAAAATATGAAAACAAAGGGAGCTGGAAAATCAAGTCAATATTTAATAGTTAATACTGGATGCTAATCGATTTAATCAAGTAAACCTGAATTAAAACCTTGTCCGAAAGAGCCAAAATGTGTGAATCAAAACATAGGTGTTTAAACGTTAAAACGTATAATACAGATATCGTACATTTTTTAAAAACCCAAAAGCACAAAATGTCCGAAAGGTCCGAAAAGTATAAGAAAGTCTGAAAGGTAAAAAGTATGCCAAAATTCTATTATATATTGTATTTATGATTCAAGGCAATTAATTATTATATAACACATCGTCCAAGAGGTAGCAAGATGCCACTTTTAAGCGTCCATCTTGACACGTAACACTCTCCTCAAGAATCCAGACACACGTGACAGGAAGACTTGAACAGAGGACTGGGTCGGGGTGTCGTCATCATCGAGGTTTATATCGACGAAGTGAGGGGCATCACGGAGGACGGGGGTAGAGAGAGGGGCAGGGAGAGAAGTGGGAGGGGTGGGCAGCTGTGACAGGGGGTCAAGGATGGTCATGTATCTCCCAGGACGATGCTAACAGGGAGGAAGAGGACATGTAGAGAGTGACAGAAGATGGAAGTAGAGAAAGGGGAGGGTAGATGTTGGAAATGGATTGATTAAGCATTACTAATTAGAAGAACCTAAGTAGTTTAGGTATGTAGTTATTACTGCAAATATATATTAGTTTGCAAGTCAACAGTATATGTGTGTTGGTTATGTATTGTGTGGTCAAGTCCATACACTCATGAGTTACAAGACCCAAATTCAGTTTTACAACAACTCTAGTAAAGTACTGATTCCTAAGACACCCACTTGGCGAGGAGGGGCCCAGATGTCAAAGTTCAAGGGGAACCTGATCACGAGGTCAACAGCTGTCGAGTAAGAAGGAAAGAAAGTCTTAAAAAAGGTTAACAAGACAGGATAAACTCAACAGGCTGATTGCTAGAAAAAATCTTGGAAACAAACACCACCTTACAGATTAATAGCATGTAAGCAATATCTATATGTAGGGCTACCAATAACCGACTCATGTCTGCTGGCTAACCGCTACAATACAGAACGTCAGGTTTACAAACTGAACGTTAACTGGTACTGAAACGGTCCTAGTAAAGTAGATATACAACTGTCAAGACTAAAAGCCCAATATCCTACGTCTTTGGACAGACAAATGAACCACTAAGAGTTTTAAGTTAAGTTGCATAGTTGGGCTAACAAACAAGAGAGTTAATCAGTAAATCCAAAATTTGAAACAGGAAAATCAAGGACCACTGGACCATTCTCCTCCGGCATCAGCTCTGACACAAGCGGCGTAAGTTCCATTTAGATTTAAATTTAAAAGATAAAATTAAGAAAACACAAACATTTGTTTATGAATAGGTTTAGGGTAGGATTGAAAAGGACGGCCTCAATTAAAGTGAAAATGATCTTATATTGGACAAATGATCATCTTTGATGACAGTATGTTCTGGAAGTTTCTTCTTTTCCAAAGGCTACATATACTTTACATTCAATTCATATGTCATAAAAGAGAGAAAACAAGACAAACTAATTCAGAAGTAATGACATACCTTGGGCGTAGCAGCTCATAATGTTTTCAAAGCAAAACACGAGGTAAACAACAGCAAAATAATAGCCAGATGATAGCAATATGATAATTACAACAATGGCGATCGTAGCGAAACTGTCGTCATGGCGACGTCATAAATCTCGCGAGACTGTCATAGTATCACGTGACGTTAGAGCTTGACTGGTTTTCTTCCTGCTCTACGCAAGCTGGGATCCCAGCCATGTCTTCAGTTGTCGGGTGGTTAAAGTGAGTGAGTGAGTTGGGTTTGACGCCGCTTCTAACAGTATTTCAGTTATATCACGGCATGTCATCTTAATGTGGGAGGAAAGCCGAAGTGATGCAGGTCTCCCAAGTTTACCACTTCGGTGAAACCCACGAGCAAGGGTATGGTGCTGACAAACCTAGAAACATAATCGGGGCGAACCGGGATTCGAACCCACAATCATAGGTTTCTGGCGTGTCCAAGGGACGCAACTCGCGGCGCCTTACACGATTGGGCCACCCGTGCATCAAAATCTAGTCAGTGTGATTTAAGCCGCTTTGAGTACGTAATATTCCAGCAACATCACGGCAGGGGACACAAGAAATGAGCTTCACACATAGTACCCATGTAGGGAACAAACCGACCTTTAGAGTGACCGAAAGAAAGCTTATTATGTACAAGTTATGATGTTAAAATTGTTTGGAACACTGCCACAAAAATAACCGAAACGGTCGTTGTGGACTACACTGTACTTACACTCCTCAGTAAGTTATTTATCACTCGACCTTTATTGAGAGGCTGTAAAAGTGAAGGTCAAACTAATGTCGTTCACTTAAGAAAAGAAGTTAAATCACCTGTTTTATACCTTAACATTGAGGCTGGACTTTGTTTCAAGGGAGTGAGTGAGTTGGGTTTAACGCCGCTTTCAACAGTATTCCAGTAATATCACGGCGTGTAAGCTTAATGTGGAAGGAAAGCCCGAAGTGAAGCAGGTCTCAGACGTTTACCACTTCGGTGAAACCCACGAGCAAGGGTATGGTGCTGACAAACCTAGAAACATAATCGGGGCGAACCGGGATTCGAACCCACAATCATAGGTTTCTGGCGTGTCCAAGGGACGCAACTCTGCACAGCGAATCGAGGCGCCTTAGACGACTGGGCCACCCGTGCCCCCTTGTTTCAAGAGTATTAACCACCTTCTGTGTTGCATTTAAGGAGGACTTTTAGAAATATGCTTTGTGTATAAAAAGTTACTAGCAAAATGCCTATTAGACTGTTCGGGTAATTGCAACCATTTCACTTTATTTTCCATCGATTTAGATGGCTCCTTATTTGATACAGTGTAGTTCAAAAATAAGTGGACTGTTTACTGTTGCAAACATTTTATAACATCATGATTATACTGATGCCAAGATGTGGCTAGATTTTGATCGTCTGCATCGCTATTTTCTTGTTATAGTCATCTGTCAGAGTTTTAATCCATCTTTTTGACAATTGTGAGTCGGTTCCTCTGTGGTAGTCTCTCTCACAGCCCCTTAACCATTATTTCCCCTTCCGCCCAGTTCTTTCTGTAATGCAAACACCCTAAATGAAGCAAGTCTAGTTTCCTCAGGATATGAACCTCCCTTCTCACGGGGGCTCCTTTTCAATTTAAATGGAGTTACTTGATTCTGTCAAAATTAAATATTTTCAAAGACCAAGTGGAAGTCTATTGTTATAGTTGGGTGTACTTTAGAACTAAATGAATGACAGTTGAAAAAGAATACTTTGAATAGTACTTCGAGGATATCTGCCCTTTGTGGTGTTATTGCGCCTTGTAGAGTGAGTAAGTGATCGGGGTTGTCGGGTGGTTCAAATGTACGTCAGACAAGGTAATACAGTAACGACGCAGTGCATCAAACTCTAATCAGTGTGGTTTTAAGCAATCTCATTAAAATCAGACCGCTAGCAAAAACTAACATCTGATTTGATTGAGATTGGGTTTACGCTGTTTTAGGCAATATTCCAGCAGGGGGCACCAGAAATGGGTTTCACATGTACCCATGTAGGGAATCGAACCCGGGTCTTCGGCGTGACGAGCGAAGGCCTCAACCACTAGGCTACCCCAACGCCACGCGTCTTCTAGAAGCGGATGGGACAATGTGATAAAAACTGATTTGAGAATATTATCAAGAATGTAAATGTATGCAGATTGAAAGCATTTTTTGTGGATACCTGAATTTGGCAATTCAACCTACTGTAAATACTACTCAACTGACGTCACATCACTCGTTGTTGCTGCTGTTACCATAGAGTTTGGGTTTAATTTGTCATTGTGTGAAGGAGATAAACCAACTGTTATGAATCTGAGTGGGGTTGATCTGTACTCTCTCTGTTGTCTTGCTAGGATCCGGCTTAGAACAGGTCCCCATTTTACTGTGCACTTACCAACTGACCTATTGGAGCGGATGGCAAGCTCCTCAAGGTTTTTCTCTAACTCCTGTATGACCCATGTTAAAGACTTCAAACCTGATATGCCTTGTATACACAGGATGTTTTGGTTTTGACCTATGACTAAATGACATGGAAAGTTTAGGTCCCTCAAAGTCGACGAAAGTGTAAATCATAGCTGAGTATATTTGAGTGTCAGTGGATGAAACTTAGTATAGGTATATCTTGGGTGACCAACTGTGGTCATTGTAGGTGACCTTCGGTATGAAGTCAAGAGCACTGGAGGTCAAATTTTGAAAGAGCTCAAATTTCGGAAAGTTTTGATAGCACCATGTTCATGAAAAATCAAAAAAATTTCCAGTCAGCTATAATCACTCAATACCTGAGATTAAGGGTCAAGGTGATTCGACCAGAAGTGCTTATAAGCTCCGTGTCCTTGTTCACTGAACCCTGTGTTTGTAGAAGTACCATCTGTTTAGGTCTTTTTGGTGTGAGGCAGCCAGGGGATGGATCCATTGACTTTCTGCTTTATCGACAGACAATCTATCCACTACGCTACAGAGTCGGTTCCATTTCTGCATATGATGCAAACTCCTTTCTCGTACTATAAGCTTATTCCAATCTCATTAAAGTCAGATCTTAGTTCTTGCTACCGCTAGCAAAAACTAAGATCTGATTTGATTGAGATTGGGTTTTACGCTGTTTTTGGCAATATTCCAGCAATATATCCGGCAGGGGACACCAGAAATGGATTTCACACGTACCCATGTGGGGAACCGAACACGGGTCTGGGTCTTCCGCGTGACGAGCGAAGGCTTCAACCACTAGGCTACCCCACCACCACGCGTCTTCTAGAAGCGGATGGGACAATGTGATAAAAACTGATTTGACAATATTATCAAGAATGTAAAGGTATGTAGATTGAAAGCATTTTTTGTGGATCCCTGAACTTGGCAATTTAACCTACTGTAAATACTACTCAACTGACGTCACATCACTCGTCTGAAATTGGGTCTTGTAACTCATGAGTGTATGGACTTGACCACACAATACATAACTAACACACATATACTGTTGACTTGCAAACTAATATATATTTGCAGTAATAACTACATACCTAAACTACTTAGGTTCTTCTTATTAGTAATGCTCAATCAATCCATTTCCAGCATCTACCCTCCCCTTTCTCTACTTCCATCTTCTGTCACTCTCTACATGTCCTCTTCCTCCCTGTGAGCAAGTTTGGTTTGTCAGCGTGTATCTTGACCCCATCACTGCCATCCAATCTTGGCCATCTGTTAGGCATTCCAGAATATTCTTTTGATCAGTTTTTAAATTTGCATTTTGAACTTTGTCAAAATATATGTTATAGATTAGTCAGGAATGGAAGTCGCCAGTTTGAAACTAGTGCTTAATAGCTCGAGAGGCAGTTTTATGACTGGCTAATTTTGACGTCTTGTTCGTCTTCTCATTGGTAGGTGAAAGTTTGCGCAGATGTGACTTATAATGGGATGTCCTCAGATCTTTGTTTAGCAGTAGCGAGAACTAAGATCTGATTTTAATGAGACTGGCCTACTTCCTGCTTATTTGATACAATCCAGACCTTAAAACACATAGTCAGGTGACCCACACGGGTCACAATTAAAACCTTTAAACAATGACCAAAATATGCAACATTTTCTTGTCATGTTGAGATGTTTCCACCAAAACAACATCCTTCCTTGGAATCCAGCTTGTTTTGATTCAACACGTTTTCAGCCAGGAAACTCTGTAAGCAGCCATCAAACCAAAACCAAAATTTGATATATGACTTTTTATGAAAAATAAAAGTACAAATGTATCACATAATAACAAACCATGTAATGTCTCTAATGCTCCTTGACCACACTGCCTGTTGATGTACCCAGGCATCTGAACTAAGATTGTATTGGGAAGTCTCTGGCCATGCAAACATCTGGCTGGGTCTTCAACACTGCTGTCAACAATTCTCCAAGTGTCCCTAAGGTCATCATAGTCACTCATTCATATTTAAGAACCAGCACATCTGTTGACCACACATATACATGGTAGACTCCTGCATCAGTGATCAGGCTCATCCATTTCTTCATCTGGGGCACACTGCAATGAAGACAAGATGTTACCAACTACTGTAAGTATACGACATGGTTCCACATTGAGCCCCAGAAGCAGCTTCAACCTTCAACTTTCCACATGCTTGTCTGCAAATGTCAACATTAATGAAAACACTTGCAGCTATGCTTTGTTTGTTTGTTGTTTAATGCCGCACTTAGCAATATTCCAGCTGTGTGATAGCGGTCTGTAAATAATCGAGTCTGGACCAGACAATCAAGTGATTGACATCATGAGCATCAATCCCTGCAATTGGAATACGATAACATGCATCAACCAAGTCTGAGTCTGACCACTTATGACGGATCTTCACGGGTCAGCAGCTATGTGAGTGAATGAGTGTTCAGCAATATTCCAGCTATATTGCAGCCTGCAATTAATCTATTCATAACCAGACAAACCAGTGATTGAAATCATAAGCAGCTTCCACAGATATGATGCCACGCAATCTACCAAGTGTATCAGATTCACTGAGTCATCTCTTACAACAACCAAAGATTGCTGGGTACTTAAAGGGGGGGGGGGAGGGAAGAAAGAGAGAGAGAGTGAGGGAAGTTCTAAGCAACATAATAAACATTTGCCAATGCGCATGGGTATCGTGCTGGCAAAGTAAGAATCATATTCTGTTTGTTGGACTGGAACACGTGGGCAGATCCGGGCATGCCAAAGGGATGCAACTCTGCACTGCAAATTGCAGTGTCGTGGAGCACTTGGTCACATTTGCTTCAGGCAATAATGAAAAGAGGTAGTCTGTTAAAAACATGCCAAAGTCAAATTTCAAATCATTAAACTCACATAAAATTCTACAAAGCAGACTTGGTTGTCCTCATTCTTGATCATGTACTGTAGTGACAGGAAGCCCCTGTTGTCCGTTCTGATGGACACTCGAGTTGACTGAGCCAGAGCTTTCACTGTCGGCTTCAGCAGGGCTAACTTATACCTGCAACAAAGAAACATAGTCCAAATTAGCTTCCTCAGGCAAGAGAGTTAACTGACTATAAAAGTCCAGTTTCCACCCTTGCCGAACTAGGCTGGAATTCTGGAGTTACATTTTGGCGGGATTAACGAGTTTATGCATAGTCCAATCAAAATTGTGTGATGAACTAGACATCCAGTCAGTTCGTAAACAACATGGATTTCAATGAACAGATTTCAGTCAACTGCAGGATTTGCAAAGCATGAGTACTGCGAACTGGGTGTTCATAGATATTTTGCAAATCTTTTCATGTTTTTAATCAAGGTGCTCATGTGATTTGACACACCTCACAAGGTAAGATCCGTCAAGATATATATCTTGATTATCAATAAGTCAGTTAACGCCCTGGCCTTGGGAAGATGAGTCCAACCAAACACTCATGTTCACACTCAGGAATCAAATCCATCCACAGTTAATACACAGATTCCCTGAGTAGTTTGTGTATATAGAATATCAAATATCTCCCACCTAACATATTTAAAAAACTTGGATGTAGGTGAGGTGAAATATGATCCTGAATGTGCAGTAGGACTCTTGATGCGGTCACAGTCACACGATATCAACATTGCAATGAGCAGGTTCTTGACCTTGGTTTTGTTATGGAATGATATTTTCTTCTTTGAAATGAGACCCGTGAAGATCCGAGGTAGAATAGGTCTTCAGCAACCCATGCTTGCCAAAAAGGGTGACTATGCTTGTCGTAAGAGGCGACTAACAGGATCGGGTGGTCAGGCTCTCTGACTTGGTTGATGCATGTTATTGATCATTGCGTGGATCGATGCTCATGATGTCAATCTGGTCCAGACTGGATTATTTACAGACCGCCGTCATATAGCTGGAATATTGCTGAGTGCGGCATAAACAACAAACAAACAAACAAAATCAGTGAAAAGGGTCTTACGCCTGTCAATATGGTGATAAACAATATTACCACAGAAACCTCTAGGAACAACATCACCTTGAACGATAGCCTGTCATGCTGATAATTACCAATGCATGAACTTATTAGAACTGACACTGAATTTAAATTCAGTGCATATCTAAAAATTGAGGACAGAAATAGCACATCACCTCTTTAGAAAGAGATACAGTACATTGTGTGTCTTGGATTGATACAGACACCTGTGATCACAGCCCTAGTGTAACACTGCATGTGTGAAGTTCATTCTAGGGATTAGAGATTGCCAAAAAATAGGTACATTCTTGAGTGAGTTAGGTCTAATGCCTCTCTTAACAGTATAGTGGTTATATCACACCGTGTCAGCTTAATGTGGGAGAAAGCCCCAAGTGATGCAGGTCTTAAACGTTTACCTCTTTGGTGAAACCCACAAGCAAGGGTATGGTGCTGACCATCTTCCAAAAGCAAGGGAGTTAACTGACTATATAACCCCAGTTTATATTTTGGTCAATGCATAGTCCAATCAAAATCATGTAACAAAATCGACAAAATCGACATCTGTATTGTAAACTGCCACGCAGATTTCGGACGATCGCAGGATTAGCGAAACATATGTACCGTCAACTCTGAGTCAACAGACATTTTCCAAATCTTTTCATGTATTTAATCGAGGTGCCCACGTGATTTGATCAGATCATATCGACTGGGTGCTGCCATTTTGTTTCAAACAAATGCAAGTGATTTGAGAGGTGGAATCTGATTAGTCAGTAGAAGGGACATAACTCGTAATAGCGAATCATGGCGCTACGATCGGGGCAAGAAATTCCAGCCCAGTTTGGCAAGGGTGGAAACCTGACTCTTACACTTAGTTACAGTCAGCTAACTCCCTTGCTTCAGGAAGATGGGTGCTGACACACCTTGAAACATAATCTGGGTGAACCGGATTCGAACCCATGATCATAGGTTTTGGCATGCAGCACAGCAAATTGCAGCACCTAAGACTGGGCCACCTGTTCCCTGCTTTTTTTGGTGCTACAGCAATAATTATGTACCATCATGACTCTACACACAACATGACCAGATCTCACCTGTTGGTTTGAGTTTGCTGACACTGGAAGGATTCAACCATGTCTGAGTCTTTGGGAAAGGCTGACTGAAAATGAAACATCAGCTTACAAAAATGAATGATATCTAGTGGTGTCACAAATAAGACCAGGTCACATATTGAAATGTATCAATATTTGAGTTATGAAACATATGATATTTAGCTGTACTGGTTTTGTGTTAAATTCTCAACATTCCATGAGGTCCTACCAAAAAGAATTTGTTGCTATCAACTGTGTTAAAATTATCAATTATAACCAGTGATATCTCAATGGGCTAGCATTCTGAAGTCCAGACTAGTACAAGCAGTCACACACACACAGAGATAAATGCAGGTAACTAAATAAGTTAAATAATATTGAACATGACGTTAGACCCCATTACACCTGAGATCACCTCACTCACTTTTCCTGCACCTCATCAGCTGTATCGGCACTTGAACCAGCATCGGACTTCAGGCACCTGTTTCCCCCTTGGAATTCATATAACACATTCACCTTTTGCACACAAGGTGAATAGATAAATACATCTTCATTTAAATCTTGAAGAACTTACGTGAGTACTGCCAGCATTGCCGAAGGTCGACAGCTGAAAGTATGGCTGGTCTGGCGACATAAGGATCTGTAATACATCGCTGCTCATATCTAGCTCACTGAAAACCTCCTTCACACACTCCGACTGCAAGGACAATGGAATGTTGACATTCACTGTAACCTTGACCTTTTGACCCTTAAACTCAGGACAAAACGCTATCGGTAAGCTAAAGGAAAACATGTCTATGTAAAACACTAATAATGTTATAACCTTGAATGTCACCTTGTACTTGTAACCCAAAACATCCAGTAAGGCCAGAGCTTTCTTACGTTTGGTTTGCAGATTGTGATAGAGAAAAATTTGGTTGGGGGGTAGTAAATAATTCTGTTTTAGTTATAAAATATCCCTTGGGTTAATCTTACTGGTAAAGGGATCTTTACCATTGGCGGCATATGAAAACCTTGTCAATCTGATTTTATATATTTCTGAATTTTCGATTTCCAAGGTCAGCAGATGTGAAAACAGGGCAAAAGAATACAAGGCCTTACTTAATGACTGTCAATGACCTACTGATGGAATAATGTTTATCATCCACTTGTTTTGGGTCATACAAATGTTGACCTTAGGCTGGCCAATTCTTCCACCTTTCATAATAACCTCAACCAAATGACCTTGACTTGCCACTGACCTTTGACATAGTAGGATTCATGGAGATAGATACAAACATCAAGTTCCATGATACAGGGCTCGATCTAAAGAACTTAACTTAGTGTTCACCAGGTGCCTGTTGACATGGAAATCTAGTGGCACCAGACACAACCAGGTAAATTTATCAATTTGAAATGTGCAAATAATCTTGAAGTACCACGGTTTGACGTCAAGCTCCAGAAGGTATGATAAATTATACATAACACAGGGATTATTTATGTAGTGTGTTACATAAAGCTTAGATGTGTTGAATGTTTTCACAGACCCTTTAAAGTAAGGGTTGACACAAATTTGAAATGTGTTGACATGCACTTGGTGCATGTAGACATAAGCATAAGGATGCATGTTTTAATAATAGGTTGCACTTGTTCATGTCATATATAGCTAAATCAAGCCCTGTGATTATTCAGGTAGCAGAGGGAGTGAATAAAGTTACACACTGCCTTTAGCAATAGCCCAGCAATATCCTCGTGGCTGAATGAGCTGCACATCTGGTACCTCTGTCGGGAATCTCCCCGTTAGTCATGAGGAGAGAAAGCTTGAACCCGAACCACCATTAGTCCCTGCTAGTAGTGAGGCTTACACTACATACCTTCATTATGATCTTGTTGATGACATTTGTACTACAGAAATCAAAGTCCAGGACTTCATCCGGCTCCAGGGTCTTGATGCTGCAGTCGGTCAGAACACCCTCCTCCTCCAGGCTGGGAACATCCAATATAATATACATAATCAGACATAATAATAAAAACACGCAACACACATGATAGTAGTATAACCACAGTTGTTCAGCAATACAAATTGGCACTAGTCCTGTAGTCCTTGCCAAACTGCCCAATAGTTAAGGCATCATAAGGACTAGCAGACATTTGCCGTTGTTAAGGGTTTTGCTATATGTTGTCATCATAAGGACTAGTGAATTAAAACAGTTAGTTTCGCTTGTTACTCCCAGGAGCTTGCTTATAGCACCAAAGGTCACAGATGGACAAACGCCCTTTTTCACCCACTTGAATGGTAAAAGTTGAGGAACACCTTGAAATATTGGCATGAAGATTATAAGAACTAGCTTTCCTACTCTTGCCATTTTTTTAATTCTGACATGATGAGATACATAAGTATGGGTAAAATGATTGATACAGACTGATTTTTCAAACTTTGAATAAAAATCTCAGTATGAGTATCTCAGTCTGTGACTTCAGATGACTTTGTTATCTTATGTTTGTTCTGTTATGTATGAGAGCACTCCAGTAAACCACAGAAGATAGGCATTTATCATGACTTAAGATGATGTTTACTGGTTGAAGGGTAGAGCCCAAGGCCAAGGCGACAAAGTGATTGCCTGTCTTGTGCGCGATCGATCTGACGTCATTGTGGGATGTCATAATACACTCACATCAAACAGATATCACACTCACATCCCACCCATGAAGATGTGGGTTAGAATTGGTCTTCAGCAACCCATGCTTGTCGTAAGAGGTGACTAATGGGACTGGGTGGTCAGACACTATTATTTACAGACTGTCATGATATAGCTGGAATATTGCTGAGTGCAGCGTTAGACAGCAAACAAACAAACAAACAAACAAACATCACACTCACATGAGCACAAGGGGACAGCCATAGCCAGCGTAACACATCTTCAGGCTGGTCGTCACCCTGGGGATATTACTGCTGCCAAATATGGTCAGACATTCCTAGGAAAACAAACATAATATATTACATTCAAGGCTTAGGACAACACAACATTCAGGGTCATCTCAACCCATCATTAAACCCATGGTAGTCTGGTCCCTTAATCCAACAATGGAGGCAAGTCTGTTACCCCAGCCACAAGTCCCATGTTAATACTGTAAAAATTGAAATTAACGCGAGCGTGAATTAAATGCGAAAAATGCGAGTGGTATTTGCTCGCATTATTAAACACCGCATTTATATCAACAATAAGACATTTTGGATTGCAGAAATACCAACTCAGACAGACGCTGAAAACAAACAGCTATGTATTCGACATCAATGTTTATTGAGCAGCACTTGTTACAAGTATATAAACAATGTCATTCAAACACTAATTACATCTTGTGAATTGTCACTGCTGGGGTCAAGACAAAAGTTCTACTCATCATGTCATCACTGATCACACCTGCAAGTCCAGACAGATGCCACCCAACACAGTGTCTTTGCTCTTTGCGATTGTTTTAGCGAAGTACTCTACTCAGCGCTAATAAGCGGTGCTATTTGGTGTGTGATTGGATTAATGTAAGGTTGGATTAAGGTGAAGATTCTCCTGTAAACCTGACAGAGGACATTTTGTTTAGATATAAATCCACTGGTGCTTGAGAGAAAGGGGTGTCGCATTCATATTGAGTCGTATTTTTGGCTAGGAGCTAGCGGTCGCATTCTTTTGGAGACTCATTAATTTCACGTTTTACAGTATATTAAAGTTACAAACAAAATACACTGAACATGATGCCAAGAGACAATTTCAGGCTAGTAGACAATGGTAGACTCTAATGGCTGAGTATTTTGGCAGACACTGGAATGCATTACCATTAAGCACACTTTAACAAAATTTAGATTTAGATTTTCTAACGACATTTTTGGAAGATGAATTTTGGCAATGTTAATATCAAAACCATTTAATTGGTACATTCAGCTGTGCACAGAACAGCTAAAAGCCCTTTTTGTCAATTTCAAAACCAGAATCTAACATGAATTGATGATGTACACTTTTGTTAGGGTTAGCAACAAAACAGTAACAGTAATTTTGTTTATTCTTGCTGTGGTGTGGTATAGCTTTTTTGTCCACAAACTGCAGTATAAAATTGTATACTGTAAAGCTTTACTGGCAAAACATATGGCGAACTATAATTAGCATCGTTAGTCTAAATGTTTTACATTTTGTGAACTTTAGTATACTCAAAGGCAAATGTCACTGCGACATGGTTATTGTTCATGTATAAGGTGAGGTGAAATTGGGTTTAACTTCGCGTCCAAGACTATTGCACTTATATAGCGACATGCATGTACGTGTGTGTGTTTGTGTGGCTGCTTGTACTAGTCCAGACTGATGCCGATTTATAGTGCTAGCTCACTGAGATACCATGCCGCAGTTTAACATGAATACCCCACTCAGACACAGTATACTGACTCCGAGCCGACCAGTTCTCTTTTTAGCCCCTTAATGTCGAACACCAGGTAACAAAAAGTACCATCTTTTAACGTCTTTTGGTATAACACGGCCAGGAATCGAACCCCGGACCTCCCGCTCTCTGGGCGGACACTCTACCACCAGACCACGGAGGTGGTCTATCATTTTAAGGACTAGTGGACTAAAAATGTTAGTTTCTACCCCTGATACTGCTGCCACATGGCTGCTGCAGTCATGGATGGCTTACACAAATGGCTTAGCCCCTTTATGCTGAGTGCCACGCTCTACCACTAGACCACAGAGGCGGTTTGTTCACTTATAAACCATTATGAATTTGGCAAAATGTTTAGGTACTAACTCGAAGAAATGCAACCAAATAATTTTGCTTGCACTGCATGTTTGTATTTGCAAGAAAAAACAATATTCAGGAGAGACTGCTCAAAATGCTCTCAATAAAAGACCAGATATCCATTACCATATCATTGTCATTCTAAGCAATCTTCAGAAAAAAACTCCACTTTTGACTATTTGATGATATTTCACCAAATCATGCCCAAGTGAAAATGACAGATGGTGAAGAATGCTTGAATCTGGTATCTCACAGTGTAATGTTATACGTCAATTCAACGTGAACAGGGCACCTATGCCGATGTTATCAACAGAAGAACCACATCACAGACGATCCCCATAGTGGACACCTACTGGTGCCAACCCCTCACCAATACATATGGTTCAAACCACACATCTAGACACAGGTTCCAGACAGTAACTCTCACAGCCAGTACCAACCCTACATCTAAAGCATCTCTTTGACGCTCCCAGCAAGAAGTCCAATCAACAGCAGAACATCAAGACAATCTCATTAAAATCAGATCTAAGTTCTCGCTGCCGCTAAACAAAGATCTGAGAACATCCCATTACGGGTCAGAACGACCTTTTGCGAATTTTGACCAACCACTGAAATGACTAACAAGAAGTCAACATCAGCCAATTAGAAAGCAGCTTTCTCGAGCTTTACGGCACTCGATTCAACCTGGCGACTTCCATTACAGACTACGCTTGAAAAATATGTATACACAGTTCACGATTAAAATTTTGAAAACTGAACAAACGAACATTCCGGAATGTCTAATATATGGCTGAGATTGTATGGCAGGGCATCCCACGTACTGTGCAATGCCTCCTCCGTTCAAATGTTTATCCCACGGAAGCGATAGACGATATGGGCCATAACTGTCGTTCGGAATACACTGTGTTAACGTTTTCGATCTTGCATGATTAGAAAACACATTCCGACTGTCACTTTCATGATCTGGTAAGCCACGCTTTGATTGGTCGGATGAGGTGAAATGGGGTTTAACGTTGTGTCCAAGATTATTGCACTTATATAGCGACGTGCATGCATGCATGAATACCCCACTCAGACACAGAATACTGACTCTGAGCCGACCAGTCCTTGTTTTAGGCCCTTAATGCCGAGCACCAGACAGAGTAACAAGTACCATCTTTTAATGTCTTTTGGTATGACGCGGCCGGGAATCAAACCCCAGACCTTCCACTCTCCGGGCAGACGCTCTACAGTATTTATTAGACCATGGAGGCGGTCCCACAGTCCTTATCGCCTGCTATAACTTTACCTGTCTATTCACTTGTCACAATAAGCTTCAATTTCTTAAAATGAGAGCCTGAAGAGTTTAGTCAGGGCCTGCAGCTTCCAAAGTCTGTGGGTCCTCATTGCAGCCTACCAATGTTTTGTTTCAAACGTTTACTCCACCCATGGCAATCAAACTTTTGATGGATTCTATTTGTTTGTTTGTATTGTGTTTGTATAACTTTTGCCTTTGAGAATATTAACAAATTATTTGAATGACACATTTACAGTTTTATACATGCTATAGTTTCAACATGACTTTTGCACATCAGGCCATTGTTAAAAACATAATGATGAATGAATTATTCTGTCCAAGCAAACAGTTTTTATAACTTTCTATTTCTGTAAAACTCCATTATTATGGTTATACTTAATTGGATGTAAGGGTGAAGTAAAGTTGAATATTTCATACTTACTAATAATACTGTCAAATTTATCTTGAATGTTATTTGATCTTCTTTGATGGAGAATTCATGGAAGATTGCCTCTTGTATGAATGCATTGGCTTGAACACACTTCGCATCTTCCACTGTCACCTTCAGACCCATAGGACTGGCAAACACAGTGGCTGTCTGAAACAAACCAGAGATTTATCCAGATTTCTAGACTAAATGCTTCTGGCAGGCAAACATGAAAAAAACATGTTATTTTGTTCAAAATTGGGATTTCTTAAAGTTCTTATTTCCTTAAATTCAGACATAGGACAGTTTTAACAATATATTTTGAGATTGCATTCAAAATTAAGCATTAAAATCTCTTCTTATTTATTGGTCCCCTTATCAGTAAAATACAGGTTATTTCTACAAAACCCCAAAATTAGTTATTAGTTATATACTCTGACCCCGTGGAACCACAGCATTCATGGTATCGCGACATTTGTGATTTCCGGTAGTTTACAAGGGACACGCCTCTTAGCGGCTATCTATTAATGTAAAACAGTAACCACGTTACCAGGAAGTGCTCGTTTCGTAAACACTTTCAATTTCCTTGGAATGTTCCGTCTGCTTTAATGTAGGATATATTAACGAGTTGATACTTACTTCTGGCATCTTTTATATATTGCCTGACCCCCATCTATCAATGGACAATGATATAACACACAGTTTCCAAAGTAAACTTCTCTATCGACCTGTACAAAATCATTTGCATATTCATGGCGACTAATAAGATAATGGAAGTTACGTAGTCTGCACATTTTTCCCGCTCTGTGCCCAGAATCTATTAGGAGATCATAAGGGCCATAATGCCATACTTAGAAATACGTTCTTTACTAGTAGCCAAATGATAAAAACATACTAGAATACTGGCATACTAGAAGTGTTTTTTATATCTTTATTGTTAACTTTTAACATTTATCAATTTTTTTACAAATTATTGTCATCCAATTTTTTCAACAAATATCTTAAAATATAAGGGTGAAATCATACACCAATATTCCGATGCATCGCAATACCTGACCCACGATACGATATACGATAGACGTAGGCCCATTTATCGATACGCCACGATATGGAACGCAAATCTCAGCGTTTCCTCGCTATCGCGCCTTTCAATAAACCGCTAACTTGGTTAAAGCGTAACGTACTTACATTTTTAATAAGCTCAGGTTTTACACTGACAGATGTTTTTCCCCATCTCAAAAAAACATTATCAGCTAATCACTGCAAGCACATAACAGCGGAAATACAAGTCAGCAAACTGAACTGAAGTAAGCAATTCAATACCATTATTATACTATCTTGATATTAAAACGTGTTCATTGTATATCTGGACTTGTGTTTGTAATATATTTTATTAAATTTATTCAAAATTTCATTTAATATTGTTTTCATTAAGTTAGGTGAAATTGTGTGTGAAGAGATACAGCAACCACAGGCAGATTACCGCTTTTGACGCATTGAAACAAACTTTAGTTTCTAGAGAATGGATACAAATATTAAAAATGCCATACTTTGACTCGTTAAAAGTCATATTTGTGGCAATTTGGCTAATATATGTCAACATAACGTTTTCGCATACACACATGTTGCGCGTGAAGTCCCTGCGGCGTCTGGTCAAATTGTTCCATACGTAAAAATATCCTGCGACAGCAATCACCAGTGCCAAAATGCTACCCTTGTGGTTCTTATAACTTGAAATATATATATAGTAAAAGCTGCAACTAAAGTAACACGATATTGGAATATATTATTCCTGATAAAACAATAATTGCACATACAATTTCTTCGACCACTGCATCAAAATTCTTTGAAGTTGTATCACTGGTGAAGTACATGAATTATTTTCTGGTGTTTGAACTTTGAATTGTTTTGAAGGAAAGTTAGGGAAAGTTCCACTTTGAAGCTTAACAACTTTAGTATTTTATTATTATAAAATAATTTTGACTGTTCCTAAATCATGAAAGGTTCAATCTTGACATGCTTAAGTCTTGTTTTTTTTATCATTGCGTATCGAGATACGTATCGTATCGTGACCAGAATATCGAGATGCCCATCGTATCGTGACCTTCCTGTATCATTGCAGCCCTATTAAAATATCATTTCTGATATTTTGTTGTTGATTTTTTAAAATATTTTTTTCTTACTTTTCGGTAAATATGCATTGAATACCTATTACTGATAACACATTCAGAATTTTACTTGTGTTGTCTTTGCACTTGTCTGGACGAATCATTGAAGTCTGGCATCGTCATACTTAGTGGTTGGTAGAATTATGTCCTGTTTTTTGTCCAATTCAGACCTCAATACACAACTTTTCACTGTTCCGCGATATGATGGAGTTCTCAAACTAAGCGCGAGGCCTGGGTTTTACTCGGCACTACTAATGTAAATAATGAACTTTTATCAGTAAAATGTGCATAGTTAGATAAAATAAATGACATCTGATATAGAGCACACCAATAATCATAAAGGTTAGTGAGTGCATTTTGTTTCGTTTAGCGTACATAACAAGTACTGCGATACCCCAAGGTTGCAGGCTACATATTAACAGGAATTGGGAAACTTTTAATTCTACTTGGGGAATTGTTAATGACATTTGCTGCAGACTTGGAGCTGTATATTGGCCTCTGACAAGGCCTAGACAACTTCCTGCAAACACACTATATGTTTGATGAAGGACAAAATCAGGGATTTTTCTAGGAAAGTAGGATCAATAAGAAATACATTTTGTGAGAAAAGAACAATCTTTTCAGAATAGGGATTTTCATAAAGTTCTTATTTTCTTAATTTCAGAGGTACATGTATATTAACATTCCAATAAAATGAAGCATTAAAGGCTCTTCCCCTTTTGTCTTCTCATCAGTGAAATACAAAGCACCTTGATCCAAGCCTACATTAACATCAATTGGGAAATGTTTAATTTCCATTTAGGTTGACGTGAGCGGACATAAGATGCTCTATCCACTCCGCTACAGAGGCAGTTGCCAAGAGAGGAATTTTCAATGAGACCTGGGTCAACTATATGTGACATAAAACCATTCAAACATTAATATTTAGATCCTAATACTTAGCACTGAATATAGCAGGTCAATAACTATCACTTCTCGTTTCTGACATACTTCTTTGAAGTTTATCGCTTTCAGTATACTGGAAACATTCCTGGCATTGTCAACTTTTGCGACAAGAATGTTCTGGTTGTCATCATCTCCTTGTTGTGTCGATAGACTCATTGTTGGTTGCTAATTTTGTGATAACATCAGGACGAAATGACAAGTTCTAATATCTGTTTTGTTTTTACCGCCATCTTGTAGTATTCCGAAAGGGAGGTAATTGCGTGGCGAACATATTTACCATCCTGTAAGAATTAATGTCATTGGTCCAAGTATCATAATCCATATCCATGTTTATAAAAGGTAAATATGAAGATATCTGCTGTTGGTTGAGATATCCACTTAAGATTTTCACCTTATCCTACACCCTCTCGTTAATATCGTCATTTCCAATCATAAACCAACTTTTGAGTTGGAGTGGAAACCGTTTAAGACCAATTCCGCAATTTTGATATTTATGAACAGACTGGGTTCCTGTCTACGTAAGCTAAATCCCTAAGCAGTGGAACTAGTTTAGGGCCCCGGCTGCGCAAATGGCGCGAGAACCAGCAATGGTATGTATGCAGAAGTCAAAATAAAAGTCAGTGTCTTATCTTATACATCTAAACGGTCACAGGTGCATCATCTACTCATGACCTTACATTCGCTACGTTATAGCACGACGCGGTTAATTAGAAACTGTAAATCAATAGCTAGCAACAACTGTTTTGATTGGCATTTAGGACGTTGGTGGGTAAATCAGAAAACAAAACGGATAATAACTTCAGGTTTATTGCATATGTTATCAAGCTAGTGGGATTACAACCAAGTAACTATGGGTATATATATATAGAGAGAGAGAAACTACAACCAAGTAACTATGGGTATATATATATAGAGAGAGAGAAACTACAACCAAGTAACTATGGGTATATATATAGAGAGAGAGAAACTACAACCAAGTAACTATGGGTATATATATAGAGAGAGAGAGAAACTACAACCAAGTAACTATGGGTATATATATATATAGAGAGAGAAACTACAACCAAGTAACTATGGGTATATATATAGAGAGAGAGAGAAACTACAACCAAGTAACTATGGGTATATATATATAGAGAGAGAGAAACTACAACCAAGTAACTATGGGTATATATATAGAGAGAGAGAGAAACTACAACCAAGTAACTATGGGTATATATATATAGAGAGAGAAACTACAACCAAGTAACTATGGGTATATATATATAGAGAGAAACTACAACCAAGTAACTATGGGTATATATATAGAGAGAGAAACTACAACCAAGTCATACATATAAATGATATTTTGTGATAAGCAGCAGATTAACAATAACAACAGGTAGGCCAACAGATAACAATTAGATCTATGTACATTACATGCAATAAAAGGTATATATCATTAGATGAAGCCAGATGTACAGAAAGAATACCAAATGGCACACCGGTAATGAAGCCAGATATTCAGTGAGGATTAAGAAGTTAGAAAAGCTGATTGGATGCTAATTAAATTCTTGAACAAACTGATAGGGTACTAATTAAAAGAGTTTTGCTTGATTAGATCTTCATAGGCAGACGGGATGCAATACTCTTCATCTCTGTTGATGCAAGGTTTGTGATTGTGGATTTCTATGGCTTCTGAGAGTTTTCTCTTTGTGACGTCCTGAGGATTTGGACTTATGTCAAACTGGATTTCATGGCTGGGGAACGTTTTCTGGTGGTCTGATTTGCTGTCTGCTTTGGCTGTTGTTTTTATGTTCTTTGATGCATGGACCTACTGGGTGGGAGATTTCACCAATCTACGAGTCACCAAAGTCACAATAAATCTTATAGATCACTCCTTTCCCTGAAGTAAACATTCATCAGCTGTTCAATGTCACGTTAGCCTGGTTCATTGTTGTCAGTACCATTACACTTGCGTCACCTTCCACATTACAAAATATTGTGATACACTTTAAACCTCCAATACACATCCCTATAATTTACACATAAACCCCTACTGATGAGTGTCTGTGCAACCTCTTACTTTCAGAAGAGAAAACAGCCTGGACAAAGATCTTCTAAAGGAAGGAAATGTGCTCCTTTGAGTGGTCGGTCACAGAAGAATTGCATGGATGTGGAGGTTCCTGGTGGTGATGATCAGTTTTTGTGTAAGCCATCAATGACTACACCTGCTATGTGGCTGCGGTATCAGGGGTACAAACTAACATTTTTCCACTAGTCCTTACAATGATAACATATAGTCAAACCCTTAAAAATGGCACATTTCTACTCATCCTTAAGATACCTTAACTAATGGGCAGTTTGGCAAGGACTACAGGACTAGTGCCAATTTCTAATGCTGGTACCGTATAAACCGTGTCTCTGTACTGCAATGTCTATTAGGATCAGGGATCTATTAGGAAAACAAAATGGGACAGTATACGGCCTTGTGTAGCGCCAAGAGATATGTTATTTTGCTGCTGGGCTGTTATTCAACATCTGTTTGTCCCCATGCCTCAGTACATGTATTACATACCTTGGTTATGTGATAAAAAATGTATGGTGATTCATCTTGATTTAATTTGCATGATATTCTCTGCATCCTGGTTGAAAAGAGGTTGTTTTAATTAGTTTGTGTTGAACTCACATGAATAGTTAATTTAAACATATTCTTATAGAATTTTGCAATCAGATTAAGCATTATGTTTCATGATATGCAGTTAGGTAAACTAAGATGAGTCTTCTCAGGCCAGGTTGATGGAAAATATCTTTGGCATGACTTTTTGTATAAATACAATGCGATGGCCTCTGTGGTTGCCTGCCTGGAGAGCGGAAGGTTGGTAGTTCAATCACCTGACCTAAATACCAAAAGATGTCAGAGATGGAACCCTTGTTACCCAGCATTAAGGGAAGAGAAGTAGGAATGGTTGGCTAGGAGCCAGTAAACTGTCACTCCCTGCTGTATTCCGTGATTTTGGTTGCAGAATATTTTGCAGAAATGCCCACTCAGTGCAGAAATGTACTTATCTTGCAGAAAATTACATTTTTGTGTGCAGTATTTTGTGTTAATCTGATGCAGAATGTGAGTTGAAAGCTGGTTTTAAACAGGTAAATGGATATTTATTTCGCTTTGAAGTGAAGTTGACTTTTGTATTATTGCTAACCAGAAATTCATTAGTATATGTTAACACTAGTGATCTCCAGATTCACTTCAATAAGCTATTCTATCTGTGGGTAAGTTTATCATAAAAATGCCTGCCTCAAGTCAAACTGGTGCAAAAACTAAGAAATTCATGGAAACTAAGCTTGAAAGTTTGCAGAATTGTGCCACTGTGCAGAATTATCAAGATTTGGTTGCAGTATTTACAAAAAATGACTGCAGAATTTTGTTTTCTTGGCCGTGGAATAATAGCGGGGAGTGTACTGAGTCAGAGTGTTGTATTCATTTTAATTGCGGGATGGTTTCTCAGTGGGTCTGAGTAGGATAGTGCTATAGAGCCAGGGTAAGTTTTAAATAGTACAGGCAGCTACACACACACATGCATGCATGCATATGTTGCAATGTACAGGCAATAATTTTGAATGCGATATTAAACTCCATTTCACCTCCTTCACCATGAATTTATGCTGGGTAAGCATATTGTGTAGAACTTAAAAGTCTCGACTTTGTATGATATTGATATTGAAACAATATTGGAATGCAAATTATGTTATACAAAGTTTAATAACTCAATTTTCAGTGAATGTCAGTGTCAGGTTGTAAGATATTACAATCCACATATTCATGATCACAATGGTATGCCTGCATACTAATTATTTAATAATTCATAGTGATGAAGAAATTGATTAATGTGTCTATTTGTACATCAGATTGTGAGGACTGCCACAAAGAGTATGATGGGGACTGTTCAGTACATGGACCTCTTCTCATGGTCACAGACACAAAGGTATACAGTCAAATACACAAGACATTGTTATGTGAACCTCGCTTGCAAAGAAAGTAACTGGATTACAGAGGTTTATGACCCGTGAAGATCCGGGGTAGAATAGGTCTTCAGCAACCCATGCCTGCTGTAAAAGACGACTATGCTTGTCGTAAAAGGCGACTAACAGGATTGGGTGGTCAGGCTCGCTGTCTTGGTTGATGCATGTCATCGTATTGTAATTGCGTGGATTGATGCTTATGATATCAATCATTGGATTGTCTGGTCCAGAGTCCATTATTAACAGACCGTCGTCATATAGGTGGAATGTTGCTGAGTGCGGCGCTAAACAACAAATAAACCAAAAAAAAAGTATTTGAACGTTGGCATACCAGAAATGACATTTAAATTGGATGACAATGTCTACATGTATGGCAGTGTGAGCATGATGAGGTAATCTTTTGGTTTGTACATTTCAGAAAATAATGGAAATTATTTGGCAATCATTTAGAGAGATGATACTGCTGGTAGATTAACCTCACTAAATTGGATATGTAAAGTGTGGGTAACCTAACTCTTGAAAACACAGAAGGCTTATTTTCAGTCTACCATGACAAAATTAGAAGCAAACCCTTTGGTATCAGCATAGGTACTCCATGACATGTGATTTGAGGTTGTTATGTCAAGTGTTTTGAGTGGATTGTCAATCTGAATTTAAAGACCAATAGTAGCCATTTAACAAAGGTTGGTGCATGGTATATGCACAAACACTGTTTTAACATCAAATTGAAATTTAGACAGTTATAAACATACAGACATGCTCCTAATGAATTCTAAAGCATTTACAATGACTTCTCAATTATGGGATCATTTTAGGAAAAACGAGGAAGAGTAGGCAGGGCATGGAAGACATTGCCTGTTGGTCTGGAGATTGAAGAATCCGGTATCCCAGGCGCTGGTCTTGGAGTTTGGGCATCTCAGGACTTTGTTGCACGCACCTGCTTTGGGCCGTATGAAGGAAATATCATCCAGAATAAAAACGTTGTTCATGGATCAGGATACACTTGGCAAGTAGGTGTCGTACATGGCATCATGGTTATGTCTATGGAAAATATCAACATGCAGCTGAATTTAAAGCAAAGTGCCTTTCAGCTCACAGGTGAAAAACTATTTCTTTGGAATGTTTAGTAAGAGTTTGGAAGATGCTGACTAAAACTTCATGTTGTTCAGGTATACTTTGACACAGAGGATCGGGGACGGGTTATTATTGAAACACAATTTTTTAGTTTAATAGACCATGGAAACATTGATCATGCTAGTTGTGTTATATTTTTAAATATGCATATTATTTGTTTGGGTCAAAGAAACAAAACATGATTTTGATGACATATAATTTAGAAATGTGGTAGTTAGGCTTCCAATTTTTCAAAAATATTGCTCCTGTGTTGGAAAACTACTGTAAAATTAGCAGTGTTTGCAAGGGCCTATCCAGGCAGGGTCTGCAACATACTACATTTGGTTTTCAAAAAGGGTGGGGGGTGGCTGGATACGCCCATGGTTTGGCGAATATATATTATTATATTTGCCTGATTTGTTTCGTCACAAACAGGGAGTACCACAGTACCACTACAAAGAGAGTTTTGTCTGTGCCCTTGGAATTAGGATCTGTTGAGTATTAATGGGAACTACATTGTTATCCTTAAACCATTATTCCAATAATTTGATCTCTAATATAGCAAATATTCACAAAAACATTCAAGTGACTTCATTTAATATCTCTTTCAAGACCATGAATACTGCTATAGTTTGTAGGGAAAACCTGACAAATGACACCTAAAAGAATGTAATGTTTGCCCACGGAGGTTAGATATAAATAGGGATTGGGTGACCTGGCAAGGTTAGACATTTAGAAAAATGGTTTGCGAAGATCTAGAAGCACACTATGTCTCATCTCAGTGTCCCCGTTGGGTTTTGAAACCGCAGGTCCTAGTGGACTGGCAGCTCTAAAAATTACCAGTCCCCTCTAAGTTTGGTAAGTCCCAACTTTCAACAAATAAATGCAGTGACGTCATCTCTGAAGTAACTTAGTTAGATCTACACGTCATTCACACAAAGTTCAGTCACAATGTCTCGGGTTTTTGGGTTGTTGTTTTTTGTATTTCGAGACTAAGTCACTACAAATATATATTTAACCTCAAAGCAAAGCGAAATGTTATCTCCTTGCACACAAAATAGAAAAACAGGAAACCCTGATGGTAACAGACAAACTGACTGTTCGAAAAATATACATATCTGAATATCACTAATGTTTTGTTCAACAACAAAGATGTATAAGGTACTTTATTTGCCGGTCCACAGGGACTGGCAGTCACATGAATTACCGGTCCAAGCCTAATTCTACCGGTAAACGGGAACACTGCATCTGTAAAGTACACAACAGACTTTGTCCAAACTATCTCTGTGATTGATCATATGATAATGTGGGATCAACCATATGGTATGACCCATGAAATGCTGTAATTTATTAGTGTTTGACACTAGATTTAAATATCCTAAAACTCTTTCGATCAGCTATCAAAATAGGGAATAATTTATCACTACCTCTCAGGAACAGGAATTCCATGTCTACATTTGAACCAATCTCTTTAAAATCAGATCTAAGTTCTCGCTGTTGCTAAACAAAGATCTTAGATAGAGGGTATGCACACAAGTAAAGTGCACATGTTGTTTTGATGACAAATCATAACATTTGATGAAATCATACTGCATAAAAAATGGGCCTAGTTGCCCGAATAACTATAAAACTTTAAATAATCATCACAGTCAAGACTGAGATAAAGGCATAGGAAGACTTAAAATGCATGTGGACCATTAGTAGATATTGTATGAGAGCTTTATTACTTTATTACATTTTATTTTGTAATTATATCTACTGCCACATAATGGTATATAGATAGCTAGTCAGTAGATACAAATATACTCACAGCTTTAGTTACTTGTGTGTTAACATTACTATACCACTGTAGTTTGAGTAACATGCGCACCCAGGTATAATGCACATCTGCCTCGAGGGGATTCCGTTTTTTTTGGCAAAAAAGATTTTTCAAGTATTATGTGCTGGAAAGAATTACACTGTACCCCTTCAGCAAATTCAGGTTAATGAACAGGTGATTAGAAACTTGGTCAATACATGTTTAAAATTTGAGATAAAAAATCACCAGACATGTTGATTTACCGTTTAAATTGTATTTTCTGTTCTGCGTTGTTTCACATACAGAGTTTAAGATTACCATGTATTTTTTCTCATAAACTAAGCCAGAAACAGCAATCAGATGTACACATGTTTTCTTGGAATCTACCGGTGAATGAGTTAAAACTTACCGAATGACATAACTTTAAAGAATTTTGATGCAATGATCGGAAAAAATTATATCTGAAACTATTATTTTATCAGGAATAATATATTCCAATATCATGTTATTTTAGTTGCAGCTTTTACTATATATATTTGAAATAATAAAAACCATAAAGCATAGCACTTCGGTCCAGATGATCGCTAATGACAGATATATTTTATTTTTCCTCATCTGTCACCGTCGAGGCTTGTGATCACGAGAACTATATGTTGACATAGAATCTTCAAACTACAACAAATATGACTTTTAACAAGTCAAAGTATGGCATTTATGATATATGTATCCATTCTCTGTCAACTAAAGTTTCTTTGAAGGCGTCAATAGCGGTAATCTGACAGTATGTGATGTACATACTAGTGAGTAGTGAGTAGTGCGATATACCGATCACTTCACACACGATTTCACCGAAATTAATTTAAACAATATGGAAAGAAATTTTGAATAAAATTAACATTTGATTAATGAAATAACTTACAAACATAAGTCCAATATATGGTGAACACTTATAACCAGACAGTGTAATTACAAGGCTATATTGTGTACTCCAGTACTGATTTGTTGACATTTATTTCTGGTGTTACGTGCTCACGGTAATGTCTTTGCATTGGGGAAAAAAACCATCAAAACACACCCCCTTCCACACAGCTGTGGGGTTGTTTTTTTTTAAAGAAGCACGCACTATACTCAAGAAAATACGGTACACAAAAGAAGTTAGGGACCACCGAATTTGAACTGGCAATATTCCCCCCTAATTGCTAAAGATGAAAATACTTACAATCTCATTTAAATCAGACCTTAGTTCTCGCTATGCTAAACAAAGATCTGAGGACATCCCATTATGGGTCACGTCAGACCTTCCGAACAACAATTAGGGGTTTTATTATTATATCCATACAATCTAGGCCATCTATAAGCCATTCCAGAATGTTTTTAATCGAGAATACGTCAAAATATGTTTCGAAGCGTAGTCGCCAGTTTGAAACTAGTGTCGTAAAGCTCAAGAAAGCTGCCTTCTGATTGGCTAATGACGATTTCTTGTCAGTCATTTCATTGGTCGGTCAAAATTCGCGAAAGGTTGTTCTGACGTGACCCGTAATGGGATGTCCTCAGATCTTTGTTTAGCAGTAGCGAAAACTAAGATCTGATTTTGATGAGATTGAAATACTTATGGAATATCAACAATCCTCTTATGTGTAGCACTGACTATGGATGCCACAGACAGAAAGTACTTAACCCTGTGATGTGTAGGATAATGTAATTGGTAATGTAATTCCTTTCATTCAGATATGTGCAGATGGACAACCTTCCCACTTTGTAGATGGCCAACACTGCAACACAGCCAACTGGATGCGATATGTCAACTGTGCTCGAACAGAGGAAGAACAGAATCTGACAGCATTTCAATACAATGGACATATCTACTACAGAGCATACAAGAAGATTGATTTTGGTTCTGAGCTGCTTGTTTGGTATGGACACAAGTATGCAAGAGACCTTGGTATCGAGAGACAACTAAAATTACCTAAAGGTTATTTAAAAGGTAAAGCAATAAAGAGTTTACTCGTTATGCTTGGTGTCGTGGGGTCAATTTTCTAAACTGTTCGAATTCAATCAGAGCATTTAAGACCTGTGTTTACACATTTATTGTATTTTTTTTTCTTTTCACAGAAGTGTAAACTCATTATGCTCACCATTAAAAAAAGACTTAAATGATGGATGTTCATGATGGCAATGTCAATGATAAAAATAACTTCTTTAAGCTAAACAACTCCATGGAACTCTATCCCTTGTTAATGATAAAAGTGTTGCATTAAATAATATGCCCTTTAGATGAGGTTACGTGGGGTTTAATCATGCTGCAGTTTAACATGGATAGCCAGAGAGGCGACTAATGGGATCGGGTGGTCATGTTTGCTGACTTGGTTGATGCATGTCATCTTATCCCAATTGTGTAGATCGATGCTCATGATGTCAATCACTTGATTGTATGGTCCAGATTTAATTATTTACAGACCGCTGTCACACAGCTGGAATATTGCTGAGTGCGGCATTAAACAACAAACAAACAAATTTGTGGTAAACATGTATAGCCTCTGACTTTCAGTTCCTCCTTCACGTGAAGCTGACATGCTTTGATATAACTGAAGACCTGTTCAGTGCAATGTCAAATCCACATCACCAACTCATCATTATCCAGTTAGCAGATCAAACCATCTTGGGTGTTTCATAGATCTGCATTGGAGCCCTCGTTACTTGTCTTCTCATCGGGGGCGGTGGGGTGGCTTGTGGTAAAAGCATTCGCTCGTCACCTCAAAGACCCGGGTACGATGTGTGAAGCCCAGTTCCCCCACCATGATATTGCTGGAATATTGCTGAAAGTCGCATAAAACCATATTTACTCACTCACTGTCTTCCCGTGGGCATTCAAGGGCAGGATCAGCACTAACCCCTGCTTCCAGAAGAGACGTCTATAATATGGTTAAGATTGGCAGATATGTATCCATTCTAATGGCATGGGTGTTGCTCAGTTTATCAACCTGGCCAAGACTTCATTAATACCGACTGCAGTGTAAAACAACACAACAAGTTTGACTTTCGAATTCTGAATTTCTTTTCCAGGAATGTACCCATGTGACAGTTGTGACCTGGGGTTCTCATCTTTGGTGTTCCTGTGGAAACATCTGAAGAAGATACACGGAGGAAAACTGACAGCTCAGTTGAGGTTCATAGTGAACACTCAAGGCTACTGCATTCGTGACTTGATTAAACGCCTAGAAAGCCTGGCACTAGAAAACAACCACCTCCCTTTGAAAGACCCAAACCGTGGAGTTGAGGAAGCAGTGATAAGAAGTGATCCCAAGAGAGACAACATTCAGTGTGAGAGTGGAGGCCAGCTCTATCAATGTTGTAAGTGTGGGGAAGTTTTAGAAACATCAAGCGACCAGAGAAGTGGCATCCAGTGTCCCTGTGGGGTGAAGCATCATCAGTGCAGCCAGTGTGGGAGAGTGTTTACGAGAGTCAGCAGCCTGCGGCGACACATGATACGTCACACCGGAGTCAAACCCTATCAATGTGATGACTGTGGGAAAGAATTTACGAGAGCAGGCACCTTGCAGACACACATCCAGGGTCACAATGGAGTTCGGCCTTATGAATGTAGGAAGTGTGGGAAAACCTTTGCACGTTCGCAGAACCTGCACAATCACATGAGATGTCACAACGGAGTCAAGCCTTACCTGTGTAGTAAGTGTGGGAAAACATTTTCACAATCAGGGGACCTGCGGAAACACATGAGATGTCACAGTGGAGACAAGCCTTATCCTTGTCGTGAATGTGAGAAAGCATTCACATCGTCAGGTAACTTGGATGCTCACATGCGGTGTCACACTGGAGTGAAGCCTTATAAGTGTACGGAGTGTGGGAAAGCCTTTACACAATCAGGGAACCTGCAGACACATATGAAATGTCACCATGGGTACGGCGGAGACACGAGTGCGACAAGCGTCGAGTCCCACCAGTGTAGTGTGTGTGGGTTAACCGTTAAAACATCAGGCAGCCTGCGGACGCACATGATGCGTCACAGAGGTGAAAGGCCTTATGAGTGTGCTGTGTGTGATAGGGCCTTCACAGAATCAGGTACTTTGAGTAGACATATGAGGTGCCATAGTGGCGCCAAGCCATATAAGTGTAGTCAATGTGGAATGACATTTACACAATCTGGTAGTCGACAGAGACACATGAAAATTCACAGTAGAGTCGAGCCGTATCAGAGTAGTACATGTGAGACAGTTACCCAATCAAATCAACAGCAGAGGGCCAAAAGGAGGACCAATAAGGACAAGCCTAGTCTGAGTCAAGAGTCTGGGAAAGCATTCACAGAATCAGCTGGTCTCAATACTCGAGTGAAAAGACATGTTATGGCTAAGCCTTATCAGTGTGGTGTGTGCTTGAAATCATTTACAAAGTCAAGTGTCCTGCAGGAACATGTGACTTGTCACAGTGGAGTTAAGTCATATCAATGTGGTAAGTGTGGGAAAGCCTTCACAGGGATTGGACTCCTTAAGAAACACCTGCTATGTCACAGGCGTCTGTAGTATTCTAATGTAATCACTTCTAACAACCTGGGTTTTTCTAGGGTTTCACCAAAGTAGAAAATATATTGACTTTCCACTGACATGAGGGGTCATAATTTGGTGTGCAGAGTTGTGGCCCTTGTGCAAGCCAGGAACCTATGATAGAGAGTTAATGGATGTCATTGTCCACTTCATTATTCAGAGGAACATGGGTGAATATCTCACTTGGGACACAAAACACTGCCTACAGTTGAAAAATAACAGAATGTTTCCGTATTTTATACAAGTTGCAAGAACATTGCTTGCTATCAAATTCTTCCTATTGTGTAGTTAGCAGAGCTGGATATAAAAGAATTTGTATGTATGCTAGATTTAATAGATGGTTGTGGTATCCTGAATTCAATTACATGAACATGAACAATTACATGGACCAAAAGAGCCCCCATAATAGAAATTATTACTTAAAATAGAATCTGAATTGCGTAGATCGATGCTCGTGATGTCACTCACTGGATAGTCTGGTCCAGACTCCATTATTTACAGACTGCGGTCATATAGCTGGAATATTGCTGAGTGTGGTGTTAAACAACAGGCCAAACAAAAACATCAACTTATGATCTTGATAATAATAGTATATGTTCAGTAAGGTATGAGGTTTTATCATCCAAAACTGGCTCCCACAGGAGATATCGCTTAGGTGGGATCAAGTGATATCTACACTGTAGATATTGCTGCAATGAAATTGCATCATAATGCCTTGCAGACCATTGTGACTTCATTGGTTACCATGACATCACAATCAAATGACATCACTAATGGCTCTGCTACTGAAGCTGTTAGCACTACTTTTTACATTAAAGACACTGTTTATTAGTGTCTACAAGCTGAAAATGTTGGACGAATGATGATAAATAAGTGATAATAATAATGATAAAAGTGGCAAGCCTCGGAGTTTCAACTCGTGTCAATATATTTGATATCAAAAGACACTCGGGTGAGATTCTCTATATGTTTGTGTTCGTCTTGCTTTTACATGACTCGACAAAAACATTGTTTATGGTTTGTGGAGAAAAATAGATCGTAAGGATCAAGTCATAATCAATATTAATTGCAGAACATTTAAACCAATATCCTTTTAACATAGTCAATTTAGATATACTTCTTATCATTTCTGGTCATAGGTGATATTATATGGAGATAATTTGGAAGTTATGTAACAGTGTTGAGTAACAAGACAAAACGATTCTGACTGTTGAAGCCCAGGAAGTCGCTGTCGGTTTCATCGTTAACGATGTTGTCCATGACATTGTTATCAATATTGTGGGCATCATCTTCGTCGTCCTGGGTAACTCTCTAACTTCATCTTCGTACAGGATATCCGCTTTGGTTCCATCCAAGGCATTGGTTATACAGCACTTCTTGAATGAACGGGTTACCATTTCCTCTGGGATTTCAGACCAAGCTTCCAGAATCCATGTACACATACGCCATAGTTCAGGGTGACGAATGCGGCCAGTTGCTGTCATCTGCTGCCCTTCTGCCTTACATAGGTTCCACTTTGATCGAAGAATAGACTTAAATGGCTTATTCAGAGAGACGTCCAGTAGCTGAAGAAGACTTGTAAACACACACCCCCCCCCCCCCCAGGTATGATATCGTCTCTTCACTGATGGCAGATGATGGCATCGGAATGCGTCTAACACTAGTAGAATATTTCTCTCTATGCAGGCCACCAGGTGTCCTCTTCCAAACAGTTCTGACCCATTCTTCAGTCATTTCGTCGTTGAACAATCCCTTCTCATGAACACGGACTTTGACTCTTTTGGGAAAAGGTTTGTTCTTTGGTAGTGTCTTCCTCTTGAAAACCACATTGGGGGGCGAATTGTTGCCGTCTCCCGTGACACTGAGCATAAGCGTGAAGCGGTTCTTTTCATTCCCTGTAGTTCTGAGTCTTGTAGTCTTTTCTCCCTTGAAGCTGACAGTGTGCTGATAAGGAATATCGAAGGTGACAGGTGTCTGGTCTGCATTTCCTGTCTGGAGGGGGTGTAATTCTTCTCTCTCGTGACTTGATGACAAATCGCTGAAACTCTTGAAGCTTGTCTTCAAAGTAGGCTGACAGTTTCTGTGCGATGTGTGTCTTTCTTCTGACAGTTCATGTCTACTCATGAAGTTACGACACCACCCAATGCTGGCCTTGAAGTCACTTGGGGAGATGTGTAACTTCTTGGCGATGTCCAGGGTCTTTATGCGGATATCCGTTGTACTAATACCCACACCTGCCACACGACGCTCCTTCACCCAACCTATCAGTTCTACCTCTACCGCGGGAAAGGCGTGACTTTCCCCTGTTTGGCATGACCACCAACTTCGACTTGTTTTTTTCTCCACAGTCTTATGTTTGACTCAGCACAACCATACATTCGTCCAGCCTGTTAATGGATCGTTCATGATGGGGGAAGATCAACTTTATCTACTTCTTGGCACAAGCATGCCAAGGAAAAAGTACGACACGTGTAGTCGGCTCTGCACTTCACTTGAGAGAGAGTTGGTGCGTTTATTTAAAAAAATAAACTATACATGACTGGCGACTTAACGCTGCTGCGCAACTCAGTAACATTTGAAGCTTACGTAAAATCTTACCAAATGGTCTGTAAGTAATTGAGTCTGGACCAGAGAGTCCAGTGATTGAGATCATGAGATGGATCTACGCAATTGGGATAAGATGACATGCATCAACCAAGTCAGCGAGCCTGACCACCCGATCCCGTTAGTCGCCTGGGTTGCTGAAGACCTATTCTCTACCCGGGTCGTCATGGGTTCCAGGCAGATGTGTTCCCTGGTCACGGTTCCCTGCATCAAGTCTTATTGATGATCCCCTTGTACTCTGATTCGCCTCTTCCAGTACTCCCCTCTGTCATCGAACCAATCAAGTCACTAACACAAACATCATCTAATGTCACTGTGCCATAATAACTCCCTTTCGCTTTCTTAACACCATGAACACGGGCATTCATCTGTCTCAGCTGCCAATTATATTCCCTGACAGATAAATCTCTCTTCAGATCTGAACAAATATCTTCAATTTTCCTAACTTCCTCCTGTGTTAAACCACTGTCAAGTTGGAGCTGTCAATGACATCCCAATTAGGTAATAGACTTGACTGGCTGTAAGATTGACTTATCTGGGTGTATTGTAAAACCTACGCTATGCAAGGTATGAACTGTACAGTGAACATTGTCATTACCAAATACATGTTCTTCAGTTGCACCCACCAACAACGAATCGCCAATGTAGGAAGTGTTTGCAAAACCGTTTCCTGCACTAACATTTCTAGGTCTAACAAATTCATATGGTAATTGCTGTTCACCTGTAAATTTAACTTAACTTAACGCTGCTGCGCAACTCAGTAACATTTGAAGCTTACGTAAAATCTTACCAAATGGATTGTTTACAAACATTAACACCCCCACATAAACCATACCATTTTCTATTGACATGATACAATCCACAATTCACTCTCATTTCCACGCTGCAAAATAACATAATGACTGGTAACTAAATTATACAAGTTACATACTACTGGGTACTCATTAAACTTTTAACAATTTCTCTCAGCTTAGCTTTGCTAATTGCCCTGGTAAACACATCTGCAAGGTTTTCTTGTGACTGCACATATCTGAGTTCAACTCTATCACATTCAACTTCAGATCTAATAAGTGGTATTTCACATCAATATGTTTCGATCTGTTGTGGTTTACAGGGTTTTTACAAACTGAGAGTGCACCTTGGGTATCACCACAATAAAAATAAACTTATCAAGTGAAAGTCTGAAGTCAATGTGTAAATTGGAAGTGTTACGATGAAGCTTCGAGAGTATTGTTTTGTTATTGTTTGGAATCAGCTGTAATTTCCATTTGAGAAGCTACCTTGTGGTTTTGCTGTGCCTTTTCCTAGTTGTTCTGTATGTGTTTCTGTTTTGAGTTTTTTGAGTGGTGGTTGTTCTGCTTCGCTTTCGAGTTTGCTTTGCCGTGCGTATAGATATTTTTTGGCTTTTCTTTTTGGCTTTAATATTGCAAGCCTTATCTTTAGTTCACTTGAGAGAGAGTTTATTTCTAAAAATAAACTATACATGACAGGCGATTTTACGCCGCTGCGCAACTCTCGCAGTAACATTTGAAGCCTACATAAAATCATACCAAATCTTTAAACAAGACATTCAGAGATATTCTTACAGGACAGCTGACTTTCACATTTATTGAAGTTTAAAATAACCAAATAGAAGAGGCAAGAACATGAATCAGACTAAAAGAAATAGATACAATTCAGTCAATATCCTCAAAATCAGGTGTTATTTGTTTCTGTAACAGTTCCAATGTCTTAACTGAAAGGTAGGGACAGACATTGATAAAGTGGGATAAAGTGATTTTTACCCATATGTTTACTCAGGTGAATGAAACTAGGATACAGAGAGCATATAGAGTACATGTTAAACCATCAAAAGTAACACGATAGCAAAGGTGAAAACTTAACAAGGGAAGCCTCAGTAATGGACAAATGGATGTACTGATTGATAATTAGTAAAGGACATATCGAAGTCAGCTGGATGAGTTAGCCTTGATAGGTTGCTAAAGCAACAGATAAATGGAGGCACAGATTAACTAAAGCCAATAGGTCCCAGTAACTAGGCAGATGTTTGCTGCTCTCGGCAATATTCCTGCGATATGACGCCGGTCTGTAAGTAATTGAGTCTGGACCAGAGAGTCCAGTGATTGAGATCATGAGATGGATCTACGCAATTGGGATAAGATGACATGCATCAACCAAGTCAGCGAGCCTGACCACCCGATCCCGTTAGTCGCCTGGGTTGCTGAAGACCTATTCTCTACCCGGGTCGTCATGGGTTCCAGGCAGATGTGTTCCCTGGTCACGGTTCCCTGCATCAAGTCTTATTGATGATCCCCTTGTACTCTGATTCGCCTCTTCCAGTACTCCCCTCTGTCATCGAACCAATCAAGTCACTAACACAAACATCATCTAATGTCACTGTGCCATAATAACTCCCTTTCGCTTTCTTAACACCATGAACACGGGCATTCATCTGTCTCAGCTGCCAATTATATTCCCTGACAGATAAATCTCTCTTCAGATCTGAACAAATATCTTCAATTTTCCTAACTTCCTCCTGTGTTAAACCACTGTCAAGTTGGAGCTGTCAATGACATCCCAATTAGGTAATAGACTTGACTGGCTGTAAGATTGACTTATCTGGGTGTATTGTAAAACCTACGCTATGCAAGGTATGAACTGTACAGTGAACATTGTCATTACCAAATACATGTTCTTCAGTTGCACCCACCAACAACGAATCGCCAATGT